GTTTCGTTTCGAAATCTTTAGACAAGTTCTTTTCTAACTCTCCTCTTAGGACCCATAAATTTATCACCTTGAATATCAATGTTAATATTAAATTTATTTGTTTAAAAATCATGGTTAGATCGGATTAGTTAAAAGCATAAATTATTATAATTGATCTTTTTAAATTTTGGATTTTAAATTGATATATATTAGGTGTTGTATATATATTTTAAAATCAATGTATAGGTAGATTTGTGACCCAAGAGGATTAATTAGGGTTTCTATATTTTCTGGTATTTTTCTAGAATTTTTTTGTATTTTTTTATATTTTTCTGAAATTAATAAGATTCATTTTTCTATTAATTGTTTGAAAATTTACATTATATATATATATAATATATGGTTTATATATATATATATATATATATATATATATACACACACGTTGGGGAATTCGGCTCTTCCAATAAGGGGTGCGCTACTATGTGGCGTGGCATACAGCACTACAGTGCGCTCAAAATCAGGACCTTAGGATGAACTTGATAATCAAAGGAAGATTCAGTGTGGTGCGGTGCATGGAGTGAGGGTGCGGACGATGATCTGAGCCGTTGGATGAAGTGGATTAGTATAGGATAATCCAGTGCATCGCGGCGCATGGAGATCGGATGCGCGTATGTATCTAGACCGTAGATGAGGTTTGGTCAACAGAAATTGATCCGCTATGGGTGAGTGCACCAAAACACAAAAGGACAACTAGTTAGAAGGTGTCACATCAGCCAGAGGAATAATCAAGCACGTGGGCAGCGCATAAGAGCGAGCGTGGGCGCGTGAAGGCACGTGGCTGTTTGTGGTTGCGCGTGCAGCAAGTGTAGGAACATTTGGCGGCGCGTGGGGGCGCGTGTGGACGTGTTTGGGGTTCCGGAAAGTTGCTGTGGAGTCCAGTAATGTCCCAGAGTTGATTTCAAGTTTATAAATGTTGAAATTAATTATTAGAGGATGTATTTTAGGTGTTTGAGGGTTATAGGATGCTACTACGATAATTAGTTGCATTTGATTAGCGTAATTATAAGTAATTAATATATTAATTATGGAAGGAAGTGTACATTTATATATATATTTATTATTTATTTATATATATATATATGTGTGTGTGTGTATATGTTTTAAATAATTAAGAATTATTATGGAATGTAATATACATATATATATATATTGTATAATATATGTGTTTGTATATATATATCATTTAAGATGATTAATATTATCATTCTTATTTGGTATATCTTGATAGGTTGATTATATATTTATTATATATATATATATATATATGTGTGTGTGTGTGTGTGTGTATATGTTTTAAATAATTAAGAATTATTATGGAATGTAATATACATATATATATATTGTATAATATATGTGTTTGTATATATATATCATTTAAGATGATTAATATTATCATTCTTATTTGGTATATCTTGATAGGTTGATTATATATTTATTATTTATACATATATATATGTGTGTGTGTGTGTGTGTATATGTTTTAAATAATTAAGAATGATTATGGAATGTAATATACATATATATATATATATATTGTATAGTATATGTGTTTGTATATATATATCATTTAAGATGATTAATATTATCATTCTTCTTTGGTATATCTTGATAGGTTGATTATTAAATTAATGATATGCGTATAATATGCATGAGATGGCTATGTATGATTTAGTGTATTGTTAATTTTAAAGTTGATTCATGGTTAAAGAGTAGGCATGGATGAATTGCCAAAGGATTAAATATATTAACTAAATATTTGTTTGAATAGAATACATACATGGGAAGCATGGATGAGTTGCTAATTAACTGTATGAATAAATATACTTATGGAAGTATGGTTGAATTGCCAAAGTATAAATAAATATACTTAAGGAGGCATGGTTGAGTTGCCAATATATAAATAAATATATTTATAATTACATGGTTGATTTGCCAAAGCGTAATTAAATTGCTATATGTTAGATGATTAAAACTTCATCTATGACTATTGTATTTATAGGTTGGATTAGAACTAGATATTCTTAAATTAGAATAATCTAGTAATTACAGGTTAGTATATTATTTTATGTGTATTAATAAAATAATATTGGTGGAGAAATGGATGAATTGTCAAAGCTTAGATATTGGCTGTGTGATTTAAATAATTAAATCATTATTGAGTTGGATTAAATATAATATTATTTAATTATATTGTTTAAATGTTTAATTACTTGTCTAGGACGGGATGGAAATTAAGGAATTTTTCTTTAAAAGAAATGGTGAATTGGTTTAGGAATGATCATTATTTAATCATTGTTTTAATGGATTTAGGAAATTAATGAACCTAATAATAAATGTGGTTGTTGTATTATATATAATTATTTATATATATACGTATCATTGTATATTAAATATAAAAACGTTATTAGGTTTGGTTTTGATCAGAAATGATCTGCTTATTAGTTTTCAGAGGCCTGATAGGGAGAGCTTGCTCATAGGGTTTAACCCGCGATTTGTTTTTCAGGTTATTAGAAGTTCAAGTCTCAAGGTTGAGGATCCGCAGCTGGAGGACTTATCCAGTCTTTCTTCTTACTCAATGTAGGATATTTTTCTTATTGTTAGATGATAGACTTAATTTAGAGTTCACCGGATTATTGGAATATGTGATCAGGGGTCCTTAATTTACAAGATTCCCGAGTTGTAACTTTTGGAGAATTATTAATGAAATTTGTATGTAATAGATTTTCCTTCAGCGAGTTATTTATTTATTTATTTTATTATTCATCTTTGTATTATGTGCTTGTTTAAATACTTTAATTGTTTTGATATCCCTTAATTTTGTGCGCTGATTTGATCAACCCGTGTTCCGAAATTAGGGGTTATCACATAAGGGTTCTGGTTTATCTCTACAGAACGCGACCCCTCCTTGTGATGATGAGAATAGATCTAGGGTTTCTGGTATCTCTCTCAACAATGTGAGGTTGCGATTGCAACCGGCTAGGGTTTGTGGTTTGTGGTCGCTCTCTCAAGAACGCGAGGCAGTGATGATGTGGAATGATTTAAAGTTTTAATGAAAATGGGTGTGCAGCTTACAAAACGACGTCATTGCTTTACTATCCTTTTTGGTCTTTTTACAAAAAAATTTATTTTTATATATTTAATAAAATGCTTTAGTAAGGGTACTTTGGTCAATTTAAGTTTTAAATGTGTGAGGAGGACTTAATTGTACCAAATTGAAACTTGAGGGGTGTTTTTTGCACGTGAGTGATGTGATATGGACTCTAAGCATACTTTAGGAGTGTTTTTTGCACTTGACCCTTTTAATTGAGAGTAAATCAAAATCTAAGGATAGATCAGAGACAATAGTTGTAAATTGACGTCACATAATCTAAAGGTTGTAACGACTTTAACCTCCACAAACTTTATATATGAATAATTTTTCAAAATTTTTTTTGCAATAGATGACCATTAAGAAAAGCGCTACTTAAATATTTTTCAAATTTTTTTTTGCAATAGATGACCATTAAGAAAAGCGCTACTTAAAGAAAATTCTATGTCACCAATTTCAACTTGGAAAAATTACAACATCAAGTATAATTTCAAACTTTATTGATTTATCTCATGAAGGATCTCAAGTGAGTTGTAACTTGAGACAATCTTGGTTTGTGTTTAACTATCTTGATTTCTTTTAAATGCAATTTCAAAATGCTCATCACCTCATTAAGATGCTTCTTCATTTCAAAAAGTCGGTCTTGAGTAAGGTGTTGTTTCATAAAATTAAAAAATTGAGTATGAAAATAAGAGCTGAAATTTAAGTGTTAGAAGTTTTTAATTGGTAAATAAAAAATAAATATTTTTGATATATTTTTAAATTTTCAGGATTCAGCATTAATTTAATAATAAGTGATGTCACCATTATTTAAAAATTTTCCTTACCTTTTCCTTTTCAGTCATATTCAAATTGTGTTACCAAACACACTTAATCCTGAATGAATTAAGTGCTAATTCTTAATAAATTCAATAGAAACATTACCAATAAATGTCAATCAACGCTTTCTTATATTTTTCAAAGTACTTATTTTTCTCATACTACTCATTCCTAGTTGATTCCATCATTATAATAAAATGACAGTTATAGACAACTACCAAACAATCTTGTAGCATATAATTGTTAATTGAGAGTTAACGAGGATCTAAGTATAGAACATGGACATTAGTTGTAAATTGACGTCACATAATCTAAAAGTTATAACGACTTTAATCTTCACAAACTTTTTATGTGAATATTTTTTTAAAAGATTATTTGTAAACAAAACGATTGATGATCAAGAAAAGCGTTATCTAAAAACAATAGTGTTTTATCAATTTTAACTTAAAAAATAACTACATAGAGTATAAATTCAAACTTGATTTGAGTATCTTACAAAAGATCTCAAGTGAGTTGCAACTTGAGATAATCTTTATTTGTGTTTAACTATCTTGATTTCTTTTAAATAGAATTTCAAAATGCTCATATCGCCTCATTAAGATGCTTCTTAATTTCAAAAAGTCGTCTTGAGTAACTCTTTATTAGAACAAGTCATTAACCATATAGGAGCAATGCATTTTAATAATATTCTGTTAGTTGAAATAATAACAAAATTATATGTCATATTATTTTGTATGTAAATTCTGATTAGAAATTATGTTTTCAATAAAAAAAATGTTTTTCAAGTTAAAATTCTCAAGAACTGAAATTTAGATCATTAAGAAAAAAACTGCATTGGTGTAAAATCGTTGGGTTTAAAGAAGGGAGCCTAGTTTTACAAAATTTGTATGAGGATCCCCAGGGGCAAAATTGGCAAAGCAAATGATCCACAGGTCCTTTCGGTTGCCTGTTACTACTGCTGCCAAGTGACAAGAGTAGGGCCACTTCACATTCCGGAAAAGCCATATAAAACCCCTCACTGTTACTCATCACCTCCACTCATGCAAGCGTATCTCTCTCTTTGCAACTCTCCTCCCTTCTCTCTCTAAAATGTCTTTGGCTATTCAGAAAGAACGGCTTCGCCGTTTAGTTCAGGCGATGTACATTGAGGTAACATGTTATTTCTTCTTCACTTCGATTCTGATTCACTTATCTGAAATTTTTTAAGGTTATGTTTTTGATTCTGCTGAGACAACACTCTCTGATGCTTGAATCGCTCGTTCATTATGATTATGCATTTTGATTTTTGTTTCCGAAATCATCTCAAAGGCTTCTTGGCGATTGAAGCGATATCTGATCATTTGTTGTGATCGTTTTTTAAGTGTTCATGGTGATATGGCTTTTTTATTTTGATTTTTGATTTTTCTCTTTTTCGGTTTCTTATTGTTATTGATTCTTCAAAGCAAACGATGTGCGTGTTTAATTTTAGAAACACTCTATTTTCGTTCTTGTTTAAGATGGAGTCTAACCCTTGGTTTTCGGCGGGGAAGATGAAGAATAAGGAAAATAAAGAGAATTAAATCAGACCCTGATCATGAATTATGTCTCTTGTTGTTTTGATTTCCAAGAAGTAAAAAATCAATTCAACTAAGCCAGCTAGCTGAATCATCGGATTATTTATTTATTTATTTTTTTACATGAAAGAAATTAAGATTCAAAACTTCAATTTCTAGTCCCCCACAAAAAAGAAAAAAAAGCTTGATTTTGTTTTATTTTCGTTCATGCAAAAAGTTTGTTGCTTTTTTATTTTTTTGTTTTTAGTTTATTGATTTTTTAATTTTTTTTTGGAGGAGGGGGGTTTCTTGCCAATTTACATGACATATAATCATGTTTCACTAGTATGTGTCTATTGCGGACGATTTATGCATTTTCTTTGGTTCATCTTGTTTTAGATTCTTCAAACAAAAGGTTAGCTTGTTGATTTTTCAATCTTTCAGGAAAAACAAATTTATATATTTGTAAAGCTATATCTCTCTTATATGTTTAGATCAGACCCTAACATTCCTTCTGGTTGAGGACCAAATGGAGAAAATGAAAAGATTGAGGGAAAATTTTTCATTCAGAGATGCAAAAAGTTTAGATTATTTACATTTTCCTGAAAAAAAGCTCCTTTTGCTCCAATTTCATTATGTATTTGAATTTTTTTTTTATTTTGAAATCATTTGGAGATTTCTTTGCAATTTGAAGAAATCCGGTCATGTTTTAGTAAAACGAGTCTCTTGGTGTTGACATAGTTTTTTGCATTTCATGTTCTCTTTGATTTGTTAACATTTAGTTTCAGTAGAACTAAAGATTTTTCTGTTGATTTTTCAGTACATTTGGTTTCATTTTTTAAAGTTATGTTGCTCACATGTGTTCAGATGTAACCCTAAAATTCCATTTGGTTAGTGGGAGAAAATGGTGGTGACTCCATTTGTTTTAGCTGTTTTGATTTCCAATAAGTAACAAAATGAACACTTCAATTTCATTCTTTTAAGCTATGTTTTTTTGTCAGTTTAGACCAGACCTAAACATTCTCTTTGTTTTCAAAGAAAAATGGAGGAAAAGAAAAGAAAAAAGCAACAATAAAAAGAGAGAAGACAATTTTTCTTTGAGTAGTGATACTCACACTGCTACTTGCAGTGAATTGCCTAACCGAACAATTTTTAATTGGTTATTTATACCAAATACAATTAAGTGGAGGGCTCCACTTTCTTATTTGTTGCATAATTGACCAATTACAAGAGTAGGTCTAGCAATTCACTGCAACTATTCGTGCAAGAATCATTTTCCTTTTTCTTTTTTCCTTTTTAGGTAACTGAACAGAAGACAAATTTTCTTCATTTATTTTTTATTTTTTTTAATTTCCATGATGTAACAAAAGCTTATTTTTTTTCTTTTGATAAGTCATGATGTAACAAAAGCTTATTAATGAAGTCAAGTAGTTGTGCCATGCTCTTCTGAGGAGTGGTTTTTGTTTCTCATTAGTCCTACTTAATGAAAAATCTAATGTTTTTTTCTTTGATTTTGTAGCAATTTTCCATAAAAAATAAAAAAAATAAAAGACTTCTGTTTTGCTCAGTTTTGTTTATTTAACTGAAAAATATATTTACTAATAATTAAATGCTATCTGATACTGTTTGAAGGTTAGTCATCTTTGTTGATTCAGCCATTCTTTTTTTATTTATTTATTTTTTCCTTCAAATTTTCTTTAATATATATATATATATATATATATATATATATATATATATATAAATATAGATTTTCTAAAGCCAAGGATGTATGGGTCAATTTTTATCTTACACTTACTCATTTTTTATTCTTGTTAAACCAGCTTTTGTATCTTTGTTTAGATTAAGCCCTTCCCTATCTGTTTGTTGATAAATGAAGGAAAAGAAAGGAAAATAAAAATGTGACTCTGGTACCTCTGTGATTTTGGTTATTTAGGAAAGCTCTTAGTCTTATTGCTTCCTAATATTCTCAACTTTTATTTCATCTTTTTCCTACGTTCTCTGAGTAATAAATGGAGCATAAGCTCAAGGCCATTTTCAATAATTGAGATTTTATGATTTCTGATGGAATACTATAATTACTATTTAAAGAGAGTGCTGAGTGGGTAATGATGTGTATCGGTCTCATACCTTGCAGGGAATTGTTAATGCTGCCTTCTGTGAGTTGCAATCAATGAAGGAAGTTATACAACCTGACTTTGTTGTGCGAGCAATCACTCTGTACTGCTTAGCAGCCCAAAACCTGTTTTCCCTTCTCACCAGTCAGCTGTAATTCAAACTGATCAACCTTTGTAATGGAGTTTCAATTGCATGGGAGGTTTTTTATAATCTTTGACCCCATTGTGACCTGTTTTTGTATCTTTACAGTGATCAAACTGACATTGACTTCTATCAAGTACAAGTTTATGCTCGTGATCTGCTTGAAAGAAGCAGCAGGTATAGTAGTGGTTTTTTCTTTTTATTTGGTAAATTACCCTGACCTCCCTTGAGGTTTGAGTTAATCATTGTGAGATTAAACTTAACACAAAAATACCTGTGACAGCCCCTGTCAGACTTAACAGTGTTAACTTTAATAATAGTTACATGTTCATTTACTATTTTACCCTCAATATTATTATATACAAGATTATCAAGTTCTTAAGAATATAATTATGGATGCACCCTTTCTCAATACCTTTATTCTTCTTTTAATACTCCTATATTTCTTTCTCTAAAATTTCCGCAATTTCATCTCCTCTCCCTCCATCACAACCACCGTAATCCCCATTCACTTTCTCTCTCTCCAGTGCTGCCACCACTGCTACTGCCATCGCCATGATTACAGATTCCCCCATCACCTCTCTTTCTAACCACCACTGCCTCTTCTCTCACTTGGTTATCTCATTACCCCACCTCCATGACCACCACTCCCTCCCTTGTCTCTCCACTGCAAATACCATCATTACTCCAGTGAGCTCTGTAACTCACTTTCGCAATAATCACATCCTCCGACTCCTACTGTCTCTCTCAAAAATTCAAAATTATAATTTCTCTTATTTCTTCATTTTTTTCCCTTTAAAAAGAATACCCAATTCCACTATTAATCACCCTCTCCACAACTTTCTCTCCCAAAATCTTCTCTTCTTTCTTCTCTTTTCCTTCTTGACAAAACCATCTAACGACATTTTCGTCCACTGTTTGCCACCACAGTTTACTATACTCTCTCTCTCTCTCTCTCTCTGCACCCTCATATTTTCTCTCTCACTTTCCCTCTCTCACAACATACAGTGGAAGTAGATCATTGAGTGTTCTGGGATGGCGTTGGTGGGATTGGGATTTGGAACTACGACGGTGGGAAGAGGTGATCGATTCTGGTTCGGTTTTCAAATTTCATCCGAACCATTTTCATATAATATGTATATTATATAAATATTTGTATCTATATACATATGTTGTAATACATGTGTCAAACTAAATAGTTTTTATTTTCCTGTTATATGTTCGATATAATAAAATCTGGAAAAGGAAATTATATTTATATATACTTTTTTCCTAGTTGGTACTCACACACCCTCCGTCCAAGGAATTGTTTGCACCTAGCAGGAATAATTATATTTATATATTGTATATATACTTCACAAAATTTTCTCAGTTTTTAATTAAATTCATATTTAATGTCTAATAAATATATATAATTTCTATTTATGTATTTAATAGAAAAAAACAAATATTGATTATGTGAATTTGGGGTAACTTTCCTCTTTAAAATTTGCAGTAGAGGGTAGAACTGCGATTTTAAAAAGATGAGCAAAGGCTCTTAAAGTCTTTTATCAAATAAGGGTAAAATTGCCATTAACAAAAATGTCTATAACGGACTAGATGGTTTGTTAACTGTAGGGGAGGTAACAGAAAATTAATAAAACTTTAGGGGAGGTTGACTACCATGTTTTTTAAGGTTTCATCTGGGAGTGATTTACTAACACCTCTGGGGAGATGAGAGTAATTATCCTTTTTATTTTCATTCCTTGAGTTTTTAACTAAGCAATTTACAAGTACTTTTACACTTATTAAGGTATTCCTGTGCATGTACTAACCTAAAGGCTTCACTTTAAACTTAGAAGCATATCTTGTAATGATTTCTTCTTTGTTTTTAAACATTAATCAGAGTGTCCAATTCCATTGATGATCCATCAACCCAAGTGTGAAGTTGCCTTCTGTACTTGAGTGAATGTTTTAAGATAGGGTTTTTCCTTACAAGCAACATGATAGCATTTTTTAATTTTTGATATGTAAGTGAGGATTTTATAACAACAAAGAGGCAGCATCCATATAGCCATTACAGAGGGCATACCCTCCAAAATACAATGGGTCATGGAAACTCCAAAACCACCAAATCAATAACAACCAGACTGGGGACACATAATATGATACATTTTTGTTAGGCGCTGCTGGGCAGCTAGATGGGGTGGCGATGTCATTTCCGGCTATGGTCTTCCACTTATTTAACATTAAAGTTTTGTCACAGGTCTAATTATATAAGGAATACATTATGAGGGTAGATATTTTCCCTCATTTACAATGAAGTTCAAAGTGGAAATTTTGAACCTTTAGACACTGACACGCATCCAAAACCACGGTTCTACTATTACCTTGATATTATTTTTATTAGTTGGTAAAAATTTATATGCTTCTTTCAGATGGAGATTTTGGTAATACTCCAATCAAGGAAAACCATCTAGGAATAACAGCTCATCATAATGCAGCTTTAGAACTTCTAAAGTCCTAGTTGGCTTTGCTTGTTTAGTTGTCACCAAATTCTTTTAAATAATTTTCTGTTTCTTTTATTATTGTTGTAAATTTATTGCAACTGGTCCGAAAATCTGCAATAGGATGGATGATGTGAATTTCCAACTGGTTTCTCCATGGTGATTGTCAGTCAGTGCAGCAACAAATTGTTAAGTGATATTAAAAGTCATACTAGGAGGCTGTATTGTATATTATAATCCTACAAGCCAGGAATAACTGCTCATCATATGCTTTTTTAAAATTTACAATCTTAAGTAGCTCTGCATTATTGGGGTGTGATCGAATTTTTGGTAACTGTTACTACATCAGTGTTGAATTTATTGCAATTAGTTCAAAAAGGCACAATAGATAATTGTTTTAATTTTCCACTTGGATTATTCACTATGATTTTAAGCTATGTTATATGGACTCTTCAAAAGTAAGTGATGTATCCTAGTCGGACACACAATATTCAAACATGGGTTTGGGATATGTGTGACACTATTGGTTGGGCATGCACCTAAAAAACATATCCAATAATTCAATTTTATTATATTATTGTTTCAAAACAAGTGAAATTCCTATATTGGAAAGAATGTTTGCATAAAGGTATAATTTTACTCTAAAAAATAAAAATAGTAAATAATGTGAATAGTTAGCAGTGTCCTTCTGAACGTGGATTTCGATATGCAGATATATACCCATACCCGACACATGTAACCGAGTCCATATAAAATAGATTTTAAGTCCAGTTGTTTTTAAAATGTGTCAAAGGGTGTGGTAACATCCGGAGAATGAGATTATATTGTTACATATCTCATGTTATACCCTAAATTGGCTATTTTAGTTTTATCTAGTGATAATGGTATAATTGATTCAACATTGCCCACACCATTTTACAGCTTGCCTTTTTCTTTTTCTTATTCATTTATGCCTTTTTGACAGGTTTCTTTATTTAATGTATACAACATTTGTGGAAATACAAGTTACTGGAAAATATTGAAAGCTTTTTTCACAGACTTGCTAATGCCCATAGAAGGAGTAATCACATAGGGCGTATTCGGGTGGCTGGTATGGAGTTGTGGAGGGAGGAAGAGGTGCGTAATGGGATCGTTTATTTTTATGAGAAGCTTTACACCGAGCCGTTAGCTTGGAGACCCAGGCTTGATGGCCTCCATTTTGAGGCTATTTCTGAGTTGGATAGAGATGGGCTTAAGATTCATTTTTTTGAAGAGGAAGTTCTAAAGGCTTTATCAAGTTGCAATGGGGACAAAGCTCCGGGGCCTGATGGATTTACTATGTGGTTTTTGATGGAAAGTTGGGCGGTGGTGAGAAACGAGGTGATGGGTACATTTTAGGAGTTTCATTCTACTGGCGTCTTTGAGAAGTCGTTAAATGCCTCATTCATTGCCCTTATCCCTAAGAAGGGTGGTGCTTCTGACATTAAAGATTTCAAACCAATTAGCCTAGTGGGCTGCATTTACAAGCTCATGGCCAAGGTTCTTGCTTTTAGGATGGGGGATGTCATAGATGGGATTATTTTGGACCCCAGAACGCTTTTCTCGGAGGACAGCAAATACTAGATTCAGTTCTTATTGTAGGCGAATGTGTGGATTCCAGACTGCGAAGTGGTGTGCCAGGAGTCTTATGCAAACTAGACATTGAAAAAGCTTATGATCATGTGAATTAGAACTTCCTGCTGTACTTTAGATAATGAGGTTTGGAAGTTGATGGAGGAAATGGATAGAGACATGTCTTTTGTCTGTAATGTTCTCTGTTCTTGTGATTGGGTCTTCTGTTGGTTTCTTTGGGTGTTCTCGGGGTCTAAGACTGTGAGTTGTGCGCAGCGGAATGGTTGTGGAATATAATATGGATAATTAACCTAGAAGGATGGTGAATAGATATAACTTGCTCCTTTATCCAGTTTTTACTTATTTTAATTTTACCGAAATAAAGCTAAAATCAAACCACAAAACAAAAATAAAGTGCAAGTAAAGTAAATACGGTTTGAGAGATGACACCAGGATTTTTTAGCGAGGATTGGTAGAATAGACCAATTGTTGCGGGAAAAACCTCGTGGACTGTGCAGTCCAGAGAAACACAATTCACTATGTTTGAAGCAAAGTACATCGAACTTTAACTCAGGTTCACACCTTATCGTTTTACCAAAAATCAATCGCTGATAATCCCTGGCTTTGCGACTCCCTCGTCCAATAGCTCTCGAGCTCAGGCTTACTCTTTATCTCTGTAGAAGAGTTGCATGTAGATCAAACAACACTCCACGAATGCTTTGACCCCTTCAAAGTGTGATCGCTTCACCCCTTTTCTTTAAGATCTGAATTTGATGAAGAACGAATGAATTTTGCTTTTCGGAATTTCTGAATCTTCAATTATTCTCCAATTCCGATGAGATAGAGAACAACATTCCTAAATCACTCTTATGTTTATGCGTGTGGTCTCAAAAATAAAATTAGAAAAATCAGATTGATTTTCTGAATAAAAACATCTCTCAAAAGGCTCTCAATTAGATCTAAATTTTGTATGCAAAAGCCATGAAATCCTAATCGAGAAAATGTGTTTTTATAGACTTTTGAAAACCTAATTGTACTTAGAAAACAAGTCAATTTCGTGCATAGGATTTTGGAATGAAGTCTAGACCAAAAAGGAATCAA